TCGAACTCACAGAGATCCGCCTGCCTCTGCCTCCCAAGTGCTGGGATTAAAGGCGTGCGCCACCACCGCCCGGCCAGAAAAATTTAAGCTACTATTTCTTTCCCATCTCCACACTCCTTTTCTGGACACAGATATTAGCATACATTAGCATACAGCTGTATACATATATTTGCATACTGGGAGTGGTCACAGGCAGGACTTTGGATATTTTATTTATTTTTCAATACTGTCTGTTACTGTGTCTTCAGACTCATTGCCTCCTGTACTTCCTAAGCTTCGGTTAACGGTACATTTGCTTGGTTTTTTGGCCGGCATCTTGTCATTCACTGAAGTCCAGCTTCATTTCTCATCTGTCTCCGTGTTTCTAGCTCATGGGCTCAGTCCTCTCCTCTTTCTTGGATGTGTTCACCTGGGTCCTTGTCTCTTCACTCTCCTCATGTCCTTTTGTCCTTGCTGTTCTGTTGTTTCTGGGAACTGTTTTTCTCACTGTGTACTTTGTTTCTCTGCTCCTGATCACTTTCTACCACCCAAGTACTAAGCAGACCCAACCAGGTTTAGCTTCCAAGATCAGGCATGTTCAGGGTGCTGTGGCACAGACTGATGATGCCTGGTAATTTTCTATACCATAAATTATGACTTGTTTTTACACTCTACAAGTATGCCTGAGTTTTATTGTTATTTTTTTTTTCCTGCAGAGCAATTAGGTAAAATTTAGAAACCATTTGTTCCTTCTGAGGTTTGTTTTAAATCTTTGTGAGATGGTATCAGGACAGCCTTTAGTCTAAGGCTAATTTTACCCCTTCCTACGGCAATAAATACTTCTCTGCACTCACTGGCAGACTTTAACTACGAGGCTTTTCCATTCCGGCTGCTGCAAGCACCAACTATTCCAGACCTGCTCAAGCTCTGAGGTTGCTCCTTCTAACTTGCAGATCCCCCTGATCAGAGGCTAAAATCCTGTTGCCATCTTTTTAGGTAGGGTTTTTCTTCCTCTTTAGCAGACAACAGCAATGGAAACAGCGGAGCTTTATAGAGATCATGAGATTTCTGGTCACGCAGCTGTGACTTGGAAATTCTGGGTCTGTAAACTGGAGTCCTGGAGCAAGGTGGGGTTTCCCTAAGGTCCCTCCATCCAAACTGATGACCTTGAGGAGATGGTCTGGGTGTGGCTGAGAAGAGCCAGGACTCCATATGCCTCGAAGAGTGCTGTTCAACTTAACACATCCTACTGGAAAGTTAGGGTCTCATGTGAGTGCTCGTCCCTTCAACTCCATGCCTGGTTCCTCCTGCTTCCCACTTTAAGAGCGTTTTGTTCCAACTGTGACAGAGACATTTCTTTCTCTGGTCTAAGAGCACTCCAGTTTTGAGCTCTCAGCAACTCAATTCTTAGCTTCCTGCAGGTGTTGGTGGCTCAAGGGGTGTGTGACTCCTGAGAGAATGAGCTGATTGCTGGACCTCATCCTTGTTACCTATTTAATATTCTTCCTGCTTTAAAAATGCTAATAATAATAATAATAATAATAATAATCAAAAGGTAAGGGGAGGGTGCTGATGGGGGGCGGGGCTTGAGCCCTGGGGAACCCTGAGTCCTAGTCTAGTAATTTCAAGATTGTTTAGTCATAGAAAAGTAAGTCCTGTTTGCCCTTGCCTTGGTACAGTAGCCAAATTCTCCAAATCCCTAAAGGAGAGCATCAACCTTGTCTCCTTCACGGATTGACTCCTCCACTGGTCCACAGTTCTCCTGGAGGCAAGCAGGGAGCCAGAAGCATAGAGAGGACTTTTAATGGCAATGAGAGACATAGGAGTTGAGAAGCATAAGACAGCACAGCCTCATTGCTCACTGACATTGAAAAGGAAAAGCCATTGGTTAGTTCCTCAGAGAGCCAGCCTTCAGGGAACGGTGCATGGGAGAAGCTCATGGTGACATGGTCCAAGAACCGAAGAACAGGGCCCAGACTCTGCTGCTTGCTCCACAGCACTCACCTATCACTCCTGCTGTCTTTATCTTTCCACGGGAATACAAAGGCCAAGCCCCTTTCCAGACTCACAGTGGCCATGATCCCGATGATCCTGATAGCACCTTCCTCCCTCTCTACAGGCAGAAAAGTGTGTCAAAGCACTCTCTCCACAGCAATGGGACTTCAAGTTGACCTCCACATTTATATATATATATCTCAAGTGTATACCACCCAAATTTGCATTCAAGGGCCCGAGTTAGCCGGAAGAGGAAGAGGCCATCAGATCCCCCGGGGCTGGAGTTACAGTTGTGAGTCACCTGATGTGGGTGCTAGGAATGAACCTGGGTCCTCTGGGAGGACAGCAAGTGCTCTCATCTACAGAGCTATCCCTCCAGCCCAGTTCTACCTTTCCACAAACGAGGACATTGTCTGGGTAAAGTAGTGTGTCTGGTCAGAGGCAGAAGCAGGTAGCTGTCCTGGGGTCCTTGTCTTAAGTGGTTCACCCACTCCATTATTGGTTTGTTAGTTATCCCCCCACTTCATTTTTTTCCTTTTTAAAGATCTCATTAGCCCCAAACCTTGTCCCCAGCAGGGGCCCTCCCTCTTCCCAGCATCATATCTATGTATACTCATCCCCATATGTAGACTATGGCCACATACCCTTGGACCACTGCCGCCTGCCGCAATCTCAGTGCTGTGGTTCCAGTCATTTTTCACACACGCATTCCTCCAGAGTCCACGCACGTAGTGGAGGGAAGTATCGCAACAACGCAGCCTCTTACCTCATACCTCACTGCTTTGTGACATCAGTGCCTGAATGTTCTGGAATGCAATTGGAGTAGTCTGGGGGTGTGTGTCTTCATATTGGAGAAAGGAGGAAGAAAGAGGAGAGGAAGAGGGAGGAGGGGGAAAGGTGGAGGAGGGAAGCAGAGAAGGAGGGATGGAGGAGGAAGTAGGAGCAGAGAGGAGGAAGGAGGAGGGAAGAGGAAAAAGAGGAAGGAGGAGGAAGAGAAGAGAAGGAGGCATTCTCAGCATACGATTCTTGGGAGTAAAGCACACAGAGGAAATTTAGTTCAGCACATTAAGGAAAATCTGTGAGCAAGGATCTCCAAGCTATGGAGTTCTCAGAATAATACACTGGGATGCTCAAGCCTTCAGCTTCCTCTGCTGGAAATTAGTAGGAGACCCTGGAACTTCTGAGCACAAGCGGTGAGTCCAGAGAGTTTGCAGGAAGTTCACCTGCCTGTGTGTACTAGGTGGATCCCGTGGGTGAGGGGGGGTGCCCTGGAGCAGGGAGAGCAAACGGAATGGAGACCACAGTGACATGGGGAATCATAGAGTGGGAAGGAAAGAGCAGACAGGAATGGAAGTGGCAATTCATAAAGGGAAAGACCCAAGAAAGCTTCCTCACCACAGGCCCTTTGAGTAGTATATTGCAGAAACTTCCTTGGAGTCTAAAGATTAGGATGGCAAGTAGCAGAAGTAACAGATGAGCTCAGAGTCTAAGAGAAGGCTGGGGGCGGGGGATGGACGGGAGGCAGAGTTTACTGTTATCAGCCAAGGGACCTCAATTAAATCTCACAGCCTTCAACCTCCGCACCTATAACAGAATAGATCACTGTAGTTCTTACACAAAGTGCTGACACGGGGGTTAAAGAACTTAGCACAAGTTGAGAGAATTCATGTGTAAGGGTTCAGGGATGACAGTAACCATTTCCCAACCATCTACACCACTATCAACACCACCACCATCACTGTAAGCATTGCAGCTTGAATGGAAAGGGATGCTGGCAGTCGAGAGCCAAGGAGTACCGCAAAGTCACCATAAGCATAGCAGCTTACAACCTTGCTCAGCGGAAAGGTTTCCTCAATGTAACAACTCTGCTCCGGCAGGGGGTTTCCCCAGTGAAGTTGTTACAGTTCTGCTCAGGTCCCACCCGAGTGTAACAACTCTGCTCCGGGAAGGTTCCCACAACTAAAGCGTTACAGTCCTGCTCTGCTCTGCTCAGGGGAAGGATGTTAACTTCTCTGTTCGGTTCCATTCCAGCGAAAAGAAGGTCTCACCCAAACCTCATTCAAGAGAGTTATTGGGAAGAAAGAATCCAGGAGGGTGACTGCCTCTGCCGTGGTAGAAAAAAAGCAGCAGCCAACTGAACAGTTACAGGGATTACATAGGGCTTCTTAGGGGCGGAGTGTATCCAGGGTGAAGATTTTCAGGGTGGGAATTGGTCAGATTTCAATCCTTGAGCTCAGGGATTGGCTGGATTTTGTACTCAGTGATTGGCTGGTTTTATGCTCAGGGATTGGTTGGTTCTTATACTGAGTTGGTCAGGGGCAAATTGTATTTCTTTGGCCCTGCAGGGCCAAAGTGTGTTACTTTCACTGGACCTTTTTAACTTTTTGGCTATGGTTCCAGGGCCAGGGTGTGTTCCTTTCACTGGCTCTGGTTTCAGGACCAGGGTATAGATGTAAGTTTGAACGGTTTTATTAAATAAGAAACACAGAGCCAAATGCAGAGTTAAAAGCCCAGAAATCAGAGAGCAGTAGCCAAGAGCTGAAACCACCTCCTTACCACCCGCTGCCACTGCCGTCCTTCCCCTGAGAAAGAGACCTACTTCCTGCGTGCCTGTCCTTTTATTGACTTTCTGTTCTGCCTTCTCATTGGTTGTAAACCCAACCACATGACCTCCTCGTCACTGCCTGTCTATACAGACCTCCAGGTCTCCATGGTTGGTATTGAGATTAAAGGCGTGTGTCTCCATGCTGGCTGTGTCCTTGAACACACAGAGATTCTGCCTGTCATATGATCAGCATAAGGGCATGTGCTACCACTGCCCAACTTCCGCTAAATGGCTGGCAATTAGCTCTGATCCCCAGCCAACTTTATTAATATACAAATAAAATCACATTTCAGCACAAATAAAATATCACCATACCAGGGTGTGTTTCTTTGGCTGGCCCTTTTACAATCACCACGGCCATTTCTATCATCACCACCACCAACAGCATCCCTACAGTCACCATAACCATCATCACCACCACCACGACCACCTTCACCATCCCATGGTAGGAACACTGACTGTCCCTGAAGCCCCCTAATCTTAATTTGACAAAAAGGGGAAACTGAGATGCAGAGATTGACCAAACAGGAATTTAAATCAGAAACTCTTAACCCCAACCACAGTATGCTCACCAGGACACCAGCCATGTGAGAAATGGTCAGACAACACACTTTCTTCCCTGGACTGCCAGGGACCAGAAGGAGATGTGATGGGTCAGAAGGCTCCTTCCATGTGGTCCAGACTCCTCCTCCCTGCCTCATCCTGCATTTCCATAGGCAGCTGGGTTGTTTCCAAACCCTTTGCAGGAACCCAGAATGAGGATATTTCTAACAAACGAATCCTTCTCTTTCCTCTTCTCTTTTTTTTATTTCATTTCCTTTTGCTTCCCTTTTTCTTCTCCCTCCTACCACCGCCTTCCTTCCTTCCTTCCTTCCTTCCTTCCTTCCTTCCTTCCTTCCTTCCTGAATTTGAGGAAAAAGTTTTACAATAAACAAGACAAAAAGACACATTAGGCATCATTTGTCTTGGGAGCCTTGAAAACCGTGGTTAGCACCCGAGTTCTGTAGTCACAGAGAAGACAAGAGTGACTCTCACAGAAAAACCCTGCCCTGGGTGCTGTTAAAATTCCTCTGGACCTCCCAAGACCTCCCACAGCATTCCTGCACAATTTGCATGGAGCTGCACAGAGGAATCTGGGATAGCCCAAGCCCGCCCAGAAGTCCTGCTCTGCTTTCTGTCCATGTCAACTGTGTCTTTCTCGTGGACCCTTTCCACAAGTCTTCTGGAATGTTCATAGAAAAACTTGTGGAATTCCCAATGGATTCCCGTGAAAACCTTCCTGAGTTGCCTTGTGAGCCTCAGTGAGCTCTCTTAGAAATAGAGACTCCACACATGGAACATCCCTTTGACTTCCAGAGAATTCTACACTAATGCTGACAGCATGCTAAGAAAATTCCCATGAAATGTTAAGAGAATTTGCATTAAATCATCTGAGAAACCACAAGGGAGATTTGACGAAAACTCTCGGCTTTCCCTGGGAACAAAAATAAAGGGGTTCCCCAGCTGACCATGAGAGGAGGGCCTGTCCTCGGGGGCATGCAGGAAGTGACAGAGCAAGACCCTCACTACTGCTGACTGCTTTCTTGCCTTCTATGGAGGAGAGATGAGAGCTTTCTCGTGTGTGTTCCAGTTTCCTGCCGTGGTGTTACCCTGGCCAAGGCAGCGTCTCTCAGGGCCCAACAACCTTTATGTCATCAATCCAGCCTCACCTCATTGAGGCCTTAGGCTTGCCATGGATTCTCTGCTGTCATTCATTAAGCCTGACTCGGTAAGGACCTGGGATGCTGGCATACCATGGTTATCAACAGAGCAATATTCCTTCAGCTTGAGATATAGAGACGTAAGGGCCTGGATTTCCATGGAGCCCACCTTAACCCCCGCCCCCACCCCACCCCAGCTGCCAGGGGACAATCCCCTGGCTTTTGCAAGTCAGACTCCACAGAAAGGAAATGGCTAGAGCTCAGCATGGGGGACCAGGCTGCCCCACAAAGGAGCTGCCCGAAGTGGCAGCTAGGCAGCCCTACCCAAGCTCAGCACACAGACACCTGCCAAGGCCTAGCCTGCTCCAGCTGGTTTGGCCCTGGCCCAGCTCTGGAGCCTGAAATAGAGACCTGTTGAGCTGATGCGTGTAGGCCTCATCCAGCACCCTGGGCAGACCTTTACCCAGCCACACTGGGTATGCCTTTGGGGCTTAGAGACTTGTCCCCTGCCTTGATCTGGCTGGACTCCAGCCTGTCTCCGAGGATTCCTCTCCTGACAGCTGCTCCTGGGTTCACCAAGGCTAAGCTCAGTGTCCTGGCCTTGTTCCCAATCCTAACTCATTAGGCGTGGGATGAATTATTTCAGGTCTGGCTTCCTTACAGAGCACAGACTCTGTCTTTTTGCTGGGGGCTCTAGGGTGCCAAGACAGTGTCTGGCACCCATGAGGGTTGGATGGATACTTTCTGACTGACAGAATGGTGGCCAGCCCCACAGAACCATCATGTTATAACAACAGTTCATGCTCCCAGGCTGTTTCATATATATACTCTACGCCTTCCAGTGGATGGAATGCATCTGTGAAGCATCAGTTTCGTGGAACAGCATCATCACACTTGGAAGTAGCATCATGTGCTCATTCCGCACTGGGCCCTGCATATGCTTCCCTTTTTCTGCCAACTCAAGGTCAAAGCGCCAGCTATTGCTACCTAGGCTGATGGCCCAGACGGCATGAATGCCAACTACTGTCACAAATTATTCAGGTACTTCTTTCATTTGATGTTTGATCTCACAGTGTACAGCGAATCCCAGCCATCTTTATCAGTTGGTGTTGCAATAACAGCATGTCCGAGACCGGGTGATTTAGGAACATCAGAAGGTTATCTGGAGACTCACAAATGCAAGAGCCGGGTGCCAGCATTTTCATGGCATGTGTTAATGTAGAGAAAGGAAGGACAAGTGTACAGTGGGAAAGACCCACCCAGCTTGGCCTTACTAACCCATCTCCACAATAATCAAGCACTTCTGGAAAAGCTCCCCTCAATTCCCCACATCGTGAAAGCAAAAGTGAAAGCTCCAGTAAGTTTGGGAGAAAAGGTTCAAATCCCAGCACTGCTCTGTCTGCTCGCCCTGGAAGGTAGGGAGAGAGGCCAACGTGTTAGCCAGGGTCACCAGGCCTCGCAAAGACCCAAAGACAGAGCAGAGGAGAGGGAGGTCTGGGCTCAGCCTGGGCCAGAACGTACCTCCTTCAAAAGCAGAAGGAAGCCAGCAGACCTTAGCGCAGCAGCGTGGAATGCCCCTGCCTGCCCGCTCCTCCCGCTTCTTCATCCTCGCCACACCCAAGAGCCACCTGGACTTCATTTCCTCCGCCATTCCCTTCAATTGCCTCATCTCTTAAACACTTTAAAGTCCTAGGCAGTCACACCAAGTGAGCTCACACTCTGGGTGTGTGTGGCAAATCCTCTGCACAATAACCTGCTCCTCTCCTGCCTGGGGAACAGCCCTCAGTTTCCTTGCTGACCACAGCACTGGTTGGAAAAAAAAAAAAAAAGACTTCCTGTCTGATTTCTCTTGAAACAGGGAGTTTACAACTTAATCCTGACCAACGGGATATGTGACTTAAAGGAGAAGAATGTGACTTTTCCCTTTGTTATTCTTTTGCCTGCTTTCTGGAATGTGGGCATGATGACCCAGTGGAGCTGAAGCAGCCAGATTAGACCAGGAGGTAACCTGTAGAATGGAAGGGTTGTGCGAAGGAAGAGGAGAGGAGAGCTCGATCTTCTGGTTGTTCTCCCAGCCTTTGAGTTTCACCAACACCAGTTGTGATGGTTTACGTTGATGGGCAACTGTAGTGGGTAGCCATTCCAGCTTGGTTCTGGAAGTTCCAACCCCCATTGAGACTCCAGCAACTGTCACGCCTACAAGGCGGGGCGAGGGGAGGCGCCTGGGGACCCAAGAGCTGGATGGGCCAGCGCTCGCTCTGGGCACTCTCTCGGTGCCGGAACGCTGACCAGTGCAGATTGACTGTGCAGAGCTCCGGAGAGCACCGCTGGACTGCATTACACCTTCCCCAGACCCTGCGACCTACCCATTACTTAATTTGTGAGTTACGCCATTAAATAAATATCCTTTTAACTACGTGGAGTGGCCAAAATAATTTCTCCAATAGGCAATGTGACAGGATCTAGACTCTCTGAGAATGTCTAGGAGGAATTATTTAGGCTGGGCTAATTAAGATGAGAAGACTCAACCTAAAAGTTGGTGGCACCACTCCCTAGGTCCCAGACTGCATAAAAAGGAGAAGTCGAGTTGAGCCGCAGTATTGTCTCTCTCTGCTTTCTGTGACACAGCATGACCAGCGGCCTCAGGCTCTAGTTCACAGGTATTTATTGTGTGGGGGTGGTGGCAGGAGTGGAGGGGGGACTTCAGGGGGTGGGGAGGTGGGGGTGCATGCTACAGCACACACGGAGGTCAGAGGACAACTTGTAAGAGTCCATTCTTTCCTTTCACTACCTGGGCCCCAGGACTAAACTCCAGTCACCAGGCTTGGTGGCAGGCGCTTTGACTGGCTGAGCCATCTCATCAGCCCCTGTGTCTATTGTTTTTAAGGTAAGGCTCTAGCTGAGGATACACTCCATGAGGTCATACAACCACTGCTACCTCCTTCTGGTCCCCAGTCCAAACGCCAGCCCCATGGGAGCTTGGCTTTGCAGACAGAGCTGAGGGGACAAACCTTCAGCTCGGAGCATCAAGCAGGTGACGGATCCACGAAGCTATCAGTCCTCACACATCTAGGTCCCTCCTGGAATTCTCTTGGTGCTGGGTCTGCTTCTCAGGGTCCCAGGGCCCTGCAGCCTCCTGGAAGCTGCAGGAAGCCAGACATAAGGTCAGATGTGAGAAGAATCTCTGGCCCATTCCTGGCACTCCAAAAGCATGCGCATTCTTCTTACTGGTCTCCTGTGGCCTCGGAGGAGGCAAGTACTCCATGCTGGAACTGTTTCTAAGGCCCTTAGTTTGTTCCTGGAGCTAGTGCTTCCTGCGCGAGCAATGGTTCTCAACCTTCCCGATGCTGTGACCCTTCAATACAGTTCCTCCATGTCCTGGTGGCCCCCCACCCCCAACCATAAATTTTTTCTTTGCTACTTCATGTCTATAATTTTTACTGCTGTCATGCGTTGTGATACAAATACCTGACACGCAGGGTATCTGATGTGTAACCCCAATGGGGTCATGGCCCACAGGTTGAGAACCGCTGTGCTAGACTCTGCCTTTGAGGTTACCTAAGCAAGCTAGCACACAGTCTTGAGCTCAGACAAGGGGCAACCTCTTCCAGCTTGGCAGCAGCGGGGTTTGACTGGCAAGTAACCCCAGGAAGCCTTTGTCTTCCTTCACCCCTCCATGCCTTCACCTCTTCTAGTTTCACTTCTGTGGCTGTGATACAATTCACAGTTCAGTTTGCAGTCCATCCCCACAGAGAAGTCACAGGGGCAGGAGCTTCAGACAGCTGGTCACATTATATCTACAGTCGAGAGAAGAGAGGATGCATGCACGCTGAATTCTTGCCTTCTTGTCCTCAGCTTGAATTCTCCACTCTTGCACAGTTCATTACCCGCTGCCTAGGGAATGGTGCCTCCCATAGTAGACGGAGTCAATGTAGGCATCCCCAGACTGAGACTCTTCCCAGGTGATTCTAGGTTGTGTCAAGTTGACAATTAAAGCCAACCATCACACTTCGCTAATCTGCAAATTTGGCTTCCATCTTTGCCCTGTCAAATTGCCAGTTACTGATCTTTGGTGAGCTAGAGCTGTGCATTCGAACCAGTGCAGACATCCCTTCGCGATCCCCTGGCAGTGACTCACCTTACATTCTGGGACCAGCTTGGTAGGTAATGGAGTCTCACACTGTGGAACTATGAAAGGCTCTGGATGGTGGCATCTCCTCCTGAGACCTGGTCCCTGGGTCCTTAACAGCATGTCCTGGGGACTGTATATGACATACGGCTGACAGCCCCTGCTCCGATACTTCCTGCAGAGCCAGCAATGGCAATCATTGGTTATCATGACACAGTGGAGTGGCACAAGGAGCTCAGATCTGGAGCAGCAAAGAGATGGCCAACCCAAGGGTACATCTTACACTCCAGACCATGGATAAAACAAACCCTTCATCATCTCTGGAACTCAGCTGGCCAGCGGACGTAGGCAAAGACCGGAAGTCTCTGTTTCCATGCAAACCTAGATCGAATCTTTACCATAGGTCAAATGCCACTGGTTCCATTCAAAATTCATCATCATTTCAAGCAGGTGGCAGCTTTGTGTTCCTCCATTGCTGTCCACTGAAGTCGCCAGCCATGACCTTGGGACGGGTCACATAGCTGTCTGTCTCTTTTTTCTTGTTTATAAATAGGAGCAATGAGAACATCAGAAAAGTGGTGTAGCCAGGCAGTGGTGGTGCACACCTCCAATCCCAGCACTCTGAAGGCAGAGGCAGGCAGCTCTGAGTTTGAGGCCAGCCTGGTCTACAGACGGAGTTCGAGGACAGCGAGAGCTACACAGAGAAGCCCTGTCTTGAAAATAAATAAATAGAAAAGTGGATGATGTAGAAAAGGCCCACAAATGCTTCCTACTGTCTTCACAGCCTATTGCTAACATGTACTAAATTCCATATGTGTGCCTTTGTCCTCATGTATATTTTGCTCCATGCATGGCCATACCCCGAGCATATTTGGGGATCCTTTGTGCCCACTGGAAAGCCCTAAGGGCTTTAGAGACATAGATGTGCAAGTTGGTGTGGCACTAGGTAGCTGGTACCTTGCATAGCCCTGACTCCTACTCCCCACACTCAGGCTGTCTAGCCCTGCCTGCCAGGTCATCCCTGACCAGGTGGGAGGCTGCAGAGATCTTCCCCAGCCCTGGTCCCAGAGGGAGCTTCGTAAACCAGTGGCTGGACAATGGCACTTTTCTTTTCTCTTCCAAGAGGGATCAGTTATGGGGGCCTTTGCAAGAGCTGTGATGCCATCTTCATTTGTGGTAATGGGATTAGCATGGCACCACAGAACCTCCTGGGCAGAGAATGGGCAAGACTGCTGGGGAGGAGAGCAGCGGAGCCCTGAACGCTGCCAGGAAGTAGACACCACCCAGGCTAGGGGCCATCCCTGCCTCCGGATGGATGCAGGGACAGGAAAATGGAATTAGTCCCAGCATGATGAATGGAGGCTTGCTGCTGCTCCAGCTGTGGTGTGTGTGTGTGTGTGTGTGTGTGTGTGTGTGTGTGTGTGTGTGTGT